TTTGTCATTCCAAGCACAGTAAACCATATGACTATCAAATTCAAAATGGCCAATACCAGTCCATTTTAGCTAACTACTGCCTAGGATATCTATATTTATGTATTCCATATTACCATATCAGTTCTGATGCCAGTTTTCCTAGATAAGTACTTTGTACATTCCATGTTCCAATTATTAATGAATGTCTGCAGCCATTTCTCCTCATTTTGAGTTGTGCCCCGTCTGCAAATTAATGTCCCAAAGGCTTTACTCTATTCATGTCATCACAGTCAACTCTACTTTGAGGAGGCAGCTCTTATCCACTTATATTTTGTGTCCTTTCCAATCTGACGGTCTCAACTTCTGGCACTATATCTGACAATATTCCTGTGTTATTCATCATGTTTCAGTATTAAGTCTTCTGGTCCTAGCTGACAGTGTTTCACTGCTAATCATAAGGTTGCCCGTGACTGAACATTCTTCCTCTCCTTTTTCTAAGTCTGTCTTAGTCTGGAAGTTCAGCTGAAACCAGAGTGCCCCTGCTGCCATTAAAAATACTGGTGGTACAGCTTCCAGCATCACAGCAACACACAAGTCACCGCAGTGCAACGAACTGACAGACGAATGAGGGAAAGACAGGTTATGTATTACTTTTTAAGTATGGTTTCCTGAAAGTGGCAATTACAAAATAAATTTGTGTTTCTATTACTGCTTACTAGCTTTGTTTTTTAAAGGAGTACTGGCAGTATAGCAGGATAAGCACTGGACTGCTAACCACAAGGTCAAAGGTTCACACTCCTTCCCCTCCTCTCTTGCTGGTTGCTCTGTGGGAAGGAGATCAGGCTGCCAGCTGCAGTCGTTTTCCGTCTCAGACCTAACGGAGCAGCTGGACTCTGGTCTACAGGCTCACCGCGAGTCGGAATCGACTCAAGGGAAGTGGGCTGGGTTTTACTTTTTACTGTCTTAAAAGTTAAAATTTCCATTGTCTTGCTGTAGGATATGCACTGGACTGCTAACCATAAGGTCAGCGGCTCAAGCCTACGAGCTGCTCCTTGGAGAGACTACACAGAATTGCTATTAGTCAGAACCGACTCAACAGCACTAACAACATAATCTTTATTGGTAAATAAAAATTACAATATCGAAGAGATAGGTATCTTTCCTAATAAAAATCCCAAGCAGTCACATCTATCATAGCATCACCAAGGGCTGCCATTGTAGTCAAGGGAGAGCGCTACTTACATATGTGGTAACAGGGTGATTACTGCTCAAGACATCTCTTGCTGGTCCTCTTCTGAACGCTCACAGGGTGGGAACTATTTACTTTTGTTTTTATTTTTTAAGGATCCTCAGTGATTGTATATATTCATCCATTTATAGTGGCTTTGGTTTTGAGTTTTGAAAATAATCTAGTAAACAAGGTGACCAACTGAACTGAGTGTCCAAATTCTTTGGCTTATTTTAATGGCCAGAAATTACTTAAACTAACTTTTAGGTGTTTTCCAAACATGTCTGAGAAATGTACATAGGCCCAAGCTTTAGAGGATAACATTCATTTCAGTGTACCAATTCTGTCCACTGAAAAGACGACATATTTTGTCACACACTCCAAAAAAGGAAATGTTTAAATAGCCAAATACCTTTAACTGTGCTCAGGTGAAAAGTTTAC